GGGGGCAGAGAAGACCAAAGAACTAGATTAAAGCAAATCAAAGAGACAAGGACCTTGAAGGAACTGTGGTTTGAAAAGTAACATTTTGAAAACAGGGAAATTTTCATGGCTATAAAGAGGATATTAGGAAACGTGCATTAGAATCAACTCAGGTGAGATAATGGTATCATTGATTCTATACAAGAAAGTCCTTATTCTTAGGAGATGCCTGCTTAGGAGAAGCATTAAGGAGTAAAGCATCACAATACAAACAGGAGTTCAAGATTCGGTATTCAGAGCCAGATGAAGCAAATGATGAACTGCTGAATCTTGGTACAAAGAACCTAGTCATTCTTCATATGAGTTTATCAACTTTTCTATGTTTGAAACAATGAGCTGGGGCAAAGAGGGTCCCTGACTACCCTGGAAAAGGAAGGAGGCAATCAGAAGCCCAGTGGGGAGGGTTCTGCAGCATCTGGGCAACACCAAGTCACCAATGTGGCACCTATCTTCCTGCGACCCCTCAGTCCCCAGGCTCAGGAGCAGCTAGTTGACCTCAGGTCCCTGTGTGCAGGACAAGGACTGCAGCACCCAGCCATGTGCAGAGCAGTGGGCCACCCTCTTGCTGGGTTCCTAGCTCACACCTCTCTGGGTGAAGGTCAGGAATGCGGGGTTTGGTCTCTCAGAGTAGTTCTGGCAGTTTACTCTCCAGCTAAGAAGACAGAGACACTCCAGCCCCCACAGTCCTGATAATGGGACTCTCCCCCACAAGGAAGGGCATGTTATTTTGTAAAAAGTGAAACTAGAGCATCCCTCTTGCCTACTAAACACTTTACCAGCTCCCCACTGCACACAATCTGTGTGCTAGGTACTGCTGAATCCAGGGCTTCCAATTTATCATCCACTGAATCTTTTAACAACCCTATAACAAACTCAATTTATTAAGACACCACCAAACCCTGTGGGGACCTCTATCTAGAGTCCAAGGCCTGGCAAAGCTCTCCAGCTCAGAGCACCTCCATTGTCCCTCCTAGCCCTGATTCTCTGTGGTCCCTGGGGCACACACACACTGGTTCACCTCCAGGACTTTGGATGTGGTCTCCCTTCTAGACTTTTCTCCATCCTATGGCCATAGCCAACTCCTATTCACTCCTCAGAGCTCTGCCCAAATACCAGGACCTATGCACCTCTTAGTCTTGATTGTTGTTAATGACAGTCCATGCTTTGGTCCCTACTTTTCAAATGAGTAACACCTCAGCTTGCCTCTGATGGTTTGCAATCCCTTGGTGAGGCAAATATATTTGTAACCTTGAGAAAATATGTGCCAATAATAATTGCAATGTGGACTATGGCAACAAGTCTTGTGATACTGCTTTGTGCAGACTCTAGAACAGCACCATCTAAGAAGAGCCAGAGGTCACATGGAATTCCATTCCTCAGCTGCCACATTTCTAGTGACCTGTAAGTGCATGGGGCTAGTGGCTACCGCCTGGATGGGGCAGATACAGAATATCTGCATGATGGTGGAGAGCTCTCTTGGGTGGCACTATTTCTGGGTTCTCTAGGGGTCAGCTAAGCTTTACCCCATGGGCAACCTGGAGCAGTATTTCTCAAAATGAGGTGCAAAATACCTCCCACTCACTGCAAAGAGCTAAGCTTCCTAGTATGTATTTTTTTGTTGTTGTTGTTGTTTTGTTTTTGCTATAGGGCACGTGTGCTCGCCAGAAAGACAGAGAGAGACAAAGAGACAGAAAGCAAGAAATCACCCCCCAGGGGTGATGGCCATGCCGCAATCCCCTCTCCTCCATTCTCCTCTCAGGATCTTGGGCATGCATACAGACGCGCCCAGTGTGAGTTTAGCCACTGGGTCCAGGACTCGAACCACGGTCAACTACAACTAAAGTCCAGTGACATAGCCATTATGCTAACTGCTGGTCCCCCTATGTAAGTTAACATCCAGATATAAATCAGAAACATCAACCACCCAACAGAAAAATAAACAGTCAGAAACAGGCCTTTGAGAGTCAAACACAGACAGAGAAAGGAAAGTTAAAACTACACTGAAGTTCAATTTCCTGTTGCTCAGACTGGAAAAATCCAACTGTATGAAAACGCAAGGCTATGGGATATTACCTAATATTACAAAATTACAATATTCCCCATGACTCAGTAATCCTACATCTAAGAATTTATCCTACAGATTTACCTACGTGCATGTCAAACAAGTTAAACACAAGATATTTCAGTACAGCGCTGTCTGTAATGAGCCAAAGCCTGGGAACAATCCCAGGAAGCATTAATAAAGAACTAGGACCAGCCTGTGGCTTGTTGTTAAGGTAGCTGGTTGACCACAGTGTTACCACATGGCTCAAGTCCTTAACCTGGTGGCTTGAAAAACATGCCAGATGCATATGCATACATGCCCAAAGTCTCAAAAGGAGGGAAGAGATGGAGACGGGATTGTGGTATGAGCATCCCCCAAGGGGCTGGGGGGCAGTGCTTTCTCAATTTCCTTCTTTTTCTCTTTCCATCTCTCCTCAGTAACTGCATACATCCTTCTCTAACAAACTGAAAAAAAAATAAAGGGGTGGATTTTTGGCATCAGGATTGTGTTGGAGGTGCTATATCTCTGTTATTGTCTCTTTCTCTTGCTCAAAGAAATAATACATAAAAACTTAAAAGAAAAAAAAATCCTGTTGGGGGTACCTGTCTCTCTGTTTATCTCATTCAATCATGGAAGATACAAATACACTTAAAAACAAAAGCTGCTGAATAAACTTGGGGACACACATGTCCAGCTAGTACCAGAAAAAAAAAAAAGGGCAAAACAAAGAATTCAGCAGCAGGAAGATCCCCAAGGTTCCCTATTCCCTGAAAGGGCAAGTTTAGGACTCAGTGTTTACAATGCTACATTCTGTGTAACAAGAAAAAACAAGGGCAGCGAGACACAGATAGTGTCTATGCCATGGATACTAAGAATAGCTAAAGGAGTCAACAGGTGGTATGGTGGTTAAAGGTGCTGGATTCCCACATGGCCAACCACAGTTCGAGTCCCAGACTTAGCGGCTTGTTTTCTCACTCACTCACTTCCTCTCTCACTTCCTCCCTCTCTCTCTCTTTCTCTGATCAAACTGAAAATAATGATAATAAATAAATAAATAATTCTTAAAAAAATAAAAAAGAACAGCTAAAAACAGCACTGATGGCAAGGGAGGAGGAACAGGGAGCTGGATAGAAGGGGCAGAGAGGGAAGTGAAGCTTCTACTCAACACCTCCATATACTGTCAGGTCTTTGAACCAGAGGACTCTAAATCATTGTTTCTAATGATTAAATTAATCTTTTTAAATTGTCTCTCCAAACCACCTGCTTCATAATCAATAAAAATGGTCATTAGACTGTAGCTCCCTGGCCCTCCCCAGATGGGCAAGTTAATAACAAAGGCCCTGAAGCCAGGCCCAGAGGTCTATTACTAAACTCTGCCCGACACCAATGTGCCCTCAAGCCTGAGGACACAGAGAGGGTCTTCGGACTAGGAACCCCAGCTCTTCTAAGCTCCAACTGTGAAGATCCCCAAATACCAGAAGTACTGAAGAATGGAAACTCCTATTGAGGGCCCAAGGGGATTTAGTCTGCATGAGTCCCTGTTCCTCACACTGGCCATGGTCACTCCCAAAGGGCCATAGCCACATGGAGCACAGACTCACCTCTCGTCTGGAGAGTCTACGTGGAAGGTCCTCTCGATGACTGTGGTCCACTGCAGGCAGCGTATGACAAAGGTGTTGGGCCGTGGCCTCTCAGTCTTCATCAGCTGGCATTCTGCAGGCAAAGGTTTAAAGCAGGAGAATGAAGGATGGCCTGCCAGTCCCATGCCAGATGGTGCTGGGGACACGTTAGTGACTGAGACAGTTCTGACCCTACTCTCCCAGGGCTCAAGGTGTAGGATGTGTGTGCAAGAAGCCAGACTACCAGATAGTGATGGCTCTGTAGTCAGGACTGTGCTGAGAGGAGCCCAGAAGTGTGTAGAACCCAACCTGGGGGGTCAGGGAGGGTTTTCCAGAGGAAGGGGCACCTCTGAACTGAAGGGCAAAGGGAACTTAGACAGTCAGTCAAAGGTTGGGTACAGAAGCCAGAGTGAGAAGATGCCCAGTATACTTAAGAGGATGGCTGGTTCTGTCCTAAGTGTGAGGAGTGGAGAAGTAAGAACAATCCTGGAGGGTAAGCTGGAATCAGTCAAGCAGGGCTTTGGAGGCCACAATGGGGAACCTGAACCAGTCTCAGGATAGCAGGGAGCCACGGCTTTTAAATAGAGAAAGAACAGACTGAGATGGATAGATCCCTCTGGCTGCCATGTAGAGGGGGAGACTAGAGGCCAGTAGCCCAGGGACATAGAGACCCAAGTGGAGAGGCTGGGGGACCCCAGAACAGACAGGCAGATAGGCCACAGACAATGGGTGTCATCTAACATAAGGCCAGGGTCCTGGTCTTACAATCAGGGAGTTAATAAGGCCCTCCCTGGACACAGGAAACAGAGGCTAGGGGAGGGGAGATTTGAAGGTCATTTTGGCACATAGTAGGTAGGAAGGAAGGGATAAAGGACACCTAGAGAACAATATCCAAGAAGCTGCTTGGAACAGACTGGGAGTTCAGATGAGAAGCTGAGGCAGGAAAAATTCATGTCGGGGTCATCAACATCCAGGGACAGTAGTCAGGAAAAAGCTTTATGCAGAACAGGGTGGGAATGGGAGCCAGATTCCAGAGACACCAGTGGAGATGGCCCTGAGGAGTAAGTGGACACTGGCCTGAGCTAAGACTGTGGCCATGGAGCTGGGGATGCTTTTAGAATGTTCTTAGCAGATAGAACAGGATATGGTGGCCAATTTTAGATGGAAAGAGGCAGAGGCCTGGGGTGGGGGTTGGTGGTGGTCAAGCACTACCGTGTTTTGCAAGGCCCAGGCAAATGCTTTAGGCTTATGCAGTTAGCATTAGTTACGGTCTGGTTGGAAGGCACCACTCTGGGTACCACACAGGGAATGGAAGAGATGAGGTTAGCCCTGTGATCTGGGGTGAACGTATGGGATGCCATGACCCTCCCTAGGTAAGAGGGATAGAGGGAGAAGGCTGTCACCAGAGTATGAGATGGGAGACATCTGACATCAGCTAGAACCACAGGGCCTGGTTGGCGGAAGCTGGAGCCACACAGGAGATACTGCCCAGGATAGGGTATGGAAAATGCCCTGGCTTCTCCCTTCTTCCTACTCCCCATCTCCACTGAAATAGCCCTGCCTGGCCCAGCTGACAACAGAACGAGAGCACAGAAGGCAGGAAAGAGATCTAAAGGCAAACAAGCCCAGGACAGGCCCACAGCTCAAGAATGTCAGGCCCATGTACACTCAACACAAGACCAGTCAGTCATTCTCGGAGCACAGGGGCACCCTGGCCCACTCGCCCTGAGACGCACCTGCCACAGAGAAGTTGTTTAAGGGAGGTAAGGTCTGATCAGGGGCCTCGGGCCTCTCCTTATACCCGATAAAGGAGCCATCACTCTTCAGCAGG